ACAAACAAAGCACGAGCGTAATATAAACGCAGAACAAACCGTTATACCGTTTTAACAAACTCAATAAGCAAAGAGCGAAAAGCAACCGGTTACGATGACAGTTCGACGGTGAATGATAATAAGAAATATTATAGAAGAATAAACGAAAATCTTTTTTTTTTTTGTTAAAAAAATTAGTATTACGGAATATAATTTCACCGGCGTCAAATTTTGTTCATGGAAGCCGCAGTTATCGATTATCTACGATTTGACTAGTTTTGCTCGTCTCAGCGCAAAGAATACTTGAATTGGAATATTTTTGGTGTCAAATAAGTTTATGAAAAGCTACTTTAAAGATTTTTTTATACTTCATTGCACAGAATATACTAAAAATGATATTCAAATTTATTTAAAATGAAAACTGTCTAATTCATATGCGAATCATGAAACTGTCATGGAGTTACGAATGTCTGATAATTAAAATGTGATTGTGTGTGTATACTTTTATACGAATCGATAAAGTGTAATACAATTGCTTATAAAAATGTGTAATTGTTAACCTTTCTGAATATTTGCCGAACCATCAATGTGAAGACTACTTAGGTTGGAATATAATTGGAGGAACACTACAAAATGGTTTCGAAAATATCCTTGATGGTATTTATATTGACATCATATACGAGTAAGTTTGTTTATTAATCTAAGTGAAATTTAATTTTTTTCTTATTTTGGATACATACATACATCTTAAGTTAAGAAAACTCGGTTGAGTTTCAGAATAGAATCTCACGAAATGTTCTTGATCTCGATTTTAATACCGCATTCGGAATTTCCTAGAGTTCCTATGTCAACACACACTTAAAATGCAAATAATAATGTCTTTCAATCTAAAAAAAAAACAAAACCATTGACAAAGGTCGGCTACAAAATTATGATTTTTTTTTACTCTGATTGTAATATCTTTTTACAGAGCATATTGTAATAATTACCACACCCTCCGGACGCTTATTCTAAGATTTAATGTTCGTTCTAGATGCACTTATAAAGTTTTTTAGGGTATATTTTAGAATAGCATTCCCAGATTTCGGGGTTAATGGGTATATACGGATAGAGGAGGTCCTCCATTATACCATCGCACGATATCAGTGTTAAAATGGCACGATTACGACTCTTTTGGAGCCGCGATTTGAGAGTATAATCTGAAAGAGGATACACTCTGGATTAAAAAATGTATGCACATACACCCTTCTTAGACTTATCGTGGGAAGAATTTAGTATACCGTTCCAGGATTTCAAGGAAAAAGGATATGGTCGGAAAGAGGAGATTATCTTGATCAAGGATATATCTAGCCGCAGGAAGCTTATAATTTTCGAGATATTCACGTTTAAAGTTGAAAATTTGCAATATTTTAATTACATATTTTCGATATATAAAATTAATTTTGCACTTATATTTTTCACTTTCATATCCACTTGCACTTCACTAATTAATTTGTACACATTTATTTTATGTAATATAGTGCCAAAATAGCGTTTAATATACATTTAAATGGGTAAAATTTAGAATAGCATCCCCGGATTTCGAGGATAAAATGGGTGTCACTGGAAAGGTGACTTTCTCCAGATCACGAAAATATACATATATATAGTTGCCGCTGAATTATAGTTTTAAAGATATTTGCGTTTAAAGTTAATAAATTACCACTTTTAAATTGATAATTTGTTTATTGTGCATAACTTTTTCACTTATACACTTTTCACTTACTAACACTTCACTATAACGTTTTTGTATATAATTTTTTTTAATATTTATTGCAAATAAAGCTTTATTTCAATTATTTTGTTTTAGTTTGTAATCCGGGGATGCTATTCAAAATCCCAGCCATTTAAATTATTGTTGAATTACGATAATTTAAGAATAACAAATGAATTACAAACTCAAATAATCAGTGTTACCTTATTGACATTATTTGTAAAATAACTAAATCAAATAAAGTGAACAGATTATACCCCAAATACGAGAATCAACAACCTATAAAAAAATAACCCTAGTCGGTCCAACACCGGGGTGTATCAAATTTTTTTTCGCGTAGAACTCCTTTTTGCGTGGGCGGCCTTCTGCCGCTCTTCAAAAAAATAACCCTAGTCGGTCCAACACCGGGGTGAATAAAATTTTTTTTGGGAAATGTTCGCTTTAGTATCCCTTTTTGAAGAGGTTTTGCGCAAAGGGGGAGGGGGATGGGGGCTTGATACTCCTCTCATTTGAAAGGTAATGAATGGAGCTTTTGAATACTAGCACCCTTCCCCCCTAGGAGGACTTGGGGCTCTAGGGCAGCCTACTAAAAATGGTGTAAAATCGTAGTTTTTCCATACAATTTTCACTAATTATTATAAAATTTATGTATTTTTACGCATAGAGTGACTATGTCTATTATTTTTACTATTTCAATGAATTAAAGTGGAAATCCACATTATTTAAATAATT